ACGCCCACGTGTGCACAGACTCCCACGCTGACACCCACCCACGCCCACGTGTGCACAGACTCCCACGCTGACACCCACTTACACCCATGTGTGCAGGCTCCCACGCTCACACCCACCTGCACCCACATGTACACAGATTCTATACTCACACCCACATGTGCACAGACTCTATACTCACACCCGTGTGTGCAGACTCCCACGCTCACACCCACATGTGCACAGGCTCTATACTCACACCCATGTGTGCAGAGACTCTATACTCACACCCACGTGTGCACAGACTCCCACGCTCACTCACCCACGCCCACGTGTGCACAGACTCCCACGCTCACGTGTGCAGATCCCAGCCTGCCCCGATGCTCCAGGCACAGAGAGACTGTGTCCCCATGCACGCACGTTGACCCACTGACACTTCCTCGTGCACTCACGCATGCACACACGAAGACATGGTTTAAGCATGTGCATGGACACACCCAGTCATGCTTCTACACATGCTTGTGTGCACAGTCACACTCACGGCTGCTCATTCACACCCGTCCTCACTCACAGTGCACGCGTGTGCACAGACATGTCCTCACACACATGCACACAGCTGTGCACACATGTAAACGGGCTTACATACACACACACACACACTTATCCACACAGCCATCCCTCCAGCCCCAGCTCCCGGGCTCCCTCCTGGGAAAGCCCAAGTCCTGGCCGCTGAAGTCGCCCAGCTCCGAGGCCCGGTGCATCAGAAGGAGCAGCTCAGCCTTCAGGCCCAGCTGCTCTTACCTTCCAGAACATTCCTCACCTACTCAGATAGAGTCCTCCCCAGTCAGCCAGCAACATGGCGACTGTGCCACTCCTGCAGCCCCTTATGTGTGTGCCTGGGGGCCTCCCCCCCCACCCCCCGCCTCGGGAGGGCCCCCTGAGTGGCTGTTCTGTGACTGGAGGGAAGGTGAGGCCACCCCTGTGTGGACACCAGGCTCTCTGTCCTGCCGTCCACGCACCCTCTTCTCTTTTGTGAGCCTCGCTTTGTGAAGGGGGTGTCCAGCCCCTCACTCTGGGGTTGTTTGGAGGAGGCAGGTGGTGTCCAAAGTGTTTGACCCGCACCAGCCCAACACTAGCCCATTGGATGCAGGACTCAGGAGTCCTGGGGTCCTGGGACTTCTGCTCTGTCGTGGAGGGGGCATGATTCACAGGGGTCTCCACGTGGTGGGCTTGGGACGTCCTAGAGAGTTGGGAGTGAGATGTCTAAGCCCCCTTGCACTCGCTGGCCTGTGACCCTCTTGCCCCTCCCTCACAGGCATCTCATCCCCGGTGAAGAAGACAGAAATGGACAAGTCCCCGTTCAACAGCCCATCACCCCAGGATTCACCGCGCCTCTCCAGCTTCACCCAGCACCACCGGCCCGTCATTGCCGTGCACAGCGGTGAGTGAGCAGGCCTGCACAGCCAGGAAGTCCCACCGGCTGTCTGACCTTGAGCCAGACTGCTGGAGCCTCTTGGGCAGGCAAGAGAACCTGGAAGTTCAGTGGAGAGCACTCGGGCCTGAGTCCAGCCCTCTGATAGGGGCCCCAGTCTCCCTCAGGGCCTCAGTTTCCCCTTCTGTATAGGAAAAGGCCTAGCTTAGACACAGACAGACCTGGGCAGACCCAGGAACAACCAAAGGTCCCCAAATGATTAAGTCCCAGGACCGACCACAGGGTCCTGAATGATGAAGGCATGCCCAAGGTGTGGCCAGTCACACACAGGTCCTCTGTGACAGTCACGTGGACACAGCACATGGAGACACACTCTGGGGCCAGGATCTGATCTGGACCCGGTACACCTAGCTCTCCGGCTCCTCACCTGTCCCCACTTCCCGGGCTTCTCCTTACGGTTCAGGGCACTAAGTCGGGTCAGCCTCTGCATGCTGACTTTTATTCCGCTCTGATGTTGAAGTTCATTTCGTCTGAGGATATAGACGCATGTACGTGCTGGTGGTTCTTAGATGCCGGTGAGTCCCGTACGACTCTACGAGCAACAGAGCTGAACCCCAGTCTATCCTGTGTCAGTCCACCTGGTTGAGGGTCTTCCTCTCCTTTGCTGACCCTTTCTGAACATCATGTCCTTCTCAGAAGAATAGTCCCTCTTACCAACATGCCTGAAGTATGTGAAGCAAAGCCTCACCATCTTTGCCTGCAACGAGCACTCTGGCCGCATCTTCTCCAGGACGTAACTGCGTGTTCTCTTGGCCGTCCGTGGGTTGTTCAGTGTTCTCCTCCAATACCACAGTTCAGAGCCCTCAATTCTTCTGTCACCCTTCCTCACGTAGTGGGAGACAGGCAAAAGTGAACGGAATTTAGCAGCGTAGACCAGGACTCGGCAGCTACAGCCCACAGACAAAATCCGGCCCTCTGCCTGTGTTTGTCAATAAAGTTTTATTGGCGCACAGCCATGCCCATTTCCTTACATACGTCTGTGGCAGCCTTCAGGCCGTGAGATGACACTTGAAAAGAAAGGACAGACTGTAAAGCCACCAGTCCCCCCGGGACAGAGTGGGGTTAGGGGGATGGAGTGACTGCTGACAGGAACAAGCGTTTTTTAGGGATGGTGAATGTGTTCTGAAATTACGTAGTGAGTATGCTAAAAAAAAAAAACCAAAACGAACAAAAAAACAGGAGTATACCAGAAATCCCTAAGGGGTTTCAAAAAAGGAAATAAAAGCAGTTAATGTGAGGGACTGACGTCTGGCTGCAGGGACGCAGTCAGCAGGTGTCCCCGGGGGGGCTTTAGACGCACGTGCTCAGAGGGAGAAGGCACGCAGCGCCGGAGCCCGTCTGCATGAAAAGTCCAGGAGCGGTGGGCAGATCCACACGCAGCGAGCCGATCCGCGGTGCCCGGGGCAGGGGACACGAGGACCCGAGGCTTTGGGGGCGCAGGGTGTTTCCAGGATGACGACAGTGTGGAGGAGCTGCAGAGTGGGGGCAGGACGCCCTGGTGGTGCCGTGGTGAAGTGCTCAGTGCCGCTTTGCTTCTGGAAGGATGAGGGAAGCTGCCCGGGTTGGTCTCCATGAGCTGGCATTGACAGGCCGGCAGGCGCGGGCTTTAGTGGGTTCAAGTGCAAAACCATTGGTTTGTAGGATTAGAAGGGTGAGTCTCGGGGTGCGTGGCCCTCATCTCAGCCTCGGGAAGGGTCACTCGTGGGCAGGGCTCCTGGACCTGGTGTGGAGCGCAGACGAGGAGCCAACCACCTGGTTCAGGATCCGGGCTGCCGTCTGCTGTAGGCGGGGGTCGGCCCCATGGGGGTGATTGCAGAACCCCAAGGGACTCTTGTGAGTGTCACTGATGTTGGGTGTGTGGTGTGACCACTCCTGGCCTTGAGGAGCCTGCTGGAGCTGTGGGTAAGGCATTTGATAACCCAGAGGCCGTGGGTTCAAACCCGCCCACCACAGTAGCCCATGGCTTCTCATGCTGGTCACTATGTCTGGTCTTGGGAACCCCTGGAGGGCGGCAGGTCAGAACCCCCCCTCGGCACACAGCAAGAGCAGCGTTGCTATTTTAATAGTCACCTCCGACATCATCGTTAGGGAGCTCCAGTGGCCTAGTGGTACAAAGCTGTGCTGCAACCCCAGAGGCATGTGGTTCGAATCCACCAGTTGCTATGAGGAAGGATGGGCGGTCTCCTCCTGGGAGATTTACTGCCTCTGAAAACCCACTGGAGGGTCAGCTGTGGTCAGCTCCAACTTGACACACAACCACCGCCGTCAGAGTGTGTAGACCTGCCCGCTTCCGCCCTCCCCTGTGGCCCTCGGGGGTCTGGCCGGAGCTTCGCTGACCGTCTGCCCTGTGTCTGCAGGAATCGCCCGGAGTCCTCACCCCTCCTCAGCTCTGCACTTCCCCACCACGTCCATCCTGCCCCAGACGGCCTCTACCTACTTCCCGCACACGGCCATCCGCTACCCGCCTCATCTCAACCCCCAGGACCCGCTCAAAGATCTCGTCTCCCTGGCCTGCGACCCGGCCAGCCAGCAGCCTGGACCGGTGAGTGTGGTGAGTGGGGCCCCTTCTCACGCCCAGGGCCCGGGCCCGGCCTGGCTTCACTCAGGTTCATCTCCGCAGCGTGTCACCCGGCAAGGCTGCCTGTGCGTTCAGCTCCTGTTGGAAGGTTTGTGGCTGTGGGTCTGCCTTCTCCTCTGGAGCCCATGGAGTCCGGTGTCGTCAGCCTTCATGTTTAAGAGCTCACACCGCGAGCGTTAGGTGATGAGGCGTGGTAGCCCAAGGTGGAGTCTCTCCTCGTACTCCAGAGACCTGGGTTCGATTCCCAGCCCATGCACCGCGTGCACAGCCACTCCCCTGCTCCCCAGATCTGTCAGTGGAAGCTTGAGGGTTGCTGTGAGCAGGTTTCAGTGGAATGTCAAGACCAAGGAGGCTAGGAAGAAAGGCCTGGCTGTCCATTCCCAAAGATCTGGCAAGCGCGTGAAAACCCATAGCAGTGAGGAACGGCTCAGGACTGGTGTTCTGTTCTGTTCAGCCCTGTGAGGGGAAGATCAGGATCCCGGGGGATCCTCCGGGAGACAAGGTGGGCACAGGTGGTGCGTGGATACAGAATGCCTCCCCAAGAGTGGCGGAGCCTGTCAGACGCCCCGGGATCTGGTGAATGTGCAGCTTCCGGTCCAGCGTGTGGGCATGAGGGTGGCACCACCGTGAGCCTGCTCCTGCCGGCCTGGGCTGCAGCCACACAGGCGATAGTGAAGCCAGGGGCTGGTACAGCCACCAGCTCAGGCCAGGCTGTGGCCACTGCAGGTGTTCAGAGCCTTTCAGATCCCGGAATCGCTACCGTCACACCAGAAGCGAATGAGGGGCACATGCGGACAGCCCCGACTAGGGGCCTGGGAGGGTGTAGGAGGGTGAGGGTCCTGCGGCAGGTCATCAGCTGTCTGTCCACAGGCCGCTAACACCAGCGAGGGGCACTGCAGACAGGGCTGCTCACCAATGGTCAGTCCACCCAGAAGTGCCTCAGAAGAGAGGCCTGGCTGTCAGCTTCCCCATACCCCAGCTGCTGAAGCTGGGGGACATAGTCGCTCACAGACAGCCCCAAGTCAGGGCTGACTCCAGTGAGCAGGCCAGGCGTGAAGTGGGGGCCCACCGCTGTCCTCCATCCAGCTGGTCTGAGACCCGCCACGCGTGCCCCGTCCATCCAGTCCCTCAGCCCCCAGCCCCCAGCACAGGGGACACCCTTCCGGGGCAGCGCCTCTGTTCCCCTCAGTCACACAGAGAATGTCCAGTCCTTTACATCTCGGCACAGATGCAACCTCCTGGGTGGCCGTTCCCCTCCACCCCAGGGGAACCGGGTCACCAGCTCCACCTGGAAATCCTGCAGGGGGCAGTACCAAGGTGGGCATCCTTCAAGCCGCTCCAGGTGGCCCGGGCACTCAGCCTGCCTCCACACACTCGGTGGTTCTTGAGAAAACAGTCCTGGAGTACGTGGACAGAGACAGAGCTACAGGTCTGGGTGATGGGGACCCCGGACCAGGGACCATGGTAGGACAGAGCCACAGCTAGGGGCAGGGTGGACCTCAGACCAGGGACTGAGATAGAGCCACAGGTCAGGAGTGGGGTGGACCCCAGACCAGGGGCCGAGGTAGGACCTCACACTCAGGGACTGCAGCAGGACAGAACCACAGGTCAGGGGTGAGGTGGACCCCAGAATCCTCTAGGTGGGCACACCGCAGGTAAAGCAAGCTAAGGATTCACTCACTGGCGGCCCCCCGTCCACATTGAGCCCTGCCGCCCCATCCATCGGAGACCAGCATCTGTGTGACTGTGTGTAACTGTGTGACTGTGTGTGTTCTCATGTTCCACCTAACACTTCTGGGCCTCCGGCCTCTTAGAAGAGGGGGCCTCTGTGGGCCTGTCCCGTCTGAGACCAGCGTGGAGCTCCTGGCCCCTTTGGGAGCCTCTCCTTTGGGACCTCAGTGGGAGGAGGTGGGTCCAGGTAGCACCCTCGTGGCTGAGTTGGAATTCCTAGGAGCCCCCCCTCCTCAGTGACACTGTCCTTCCCGATGGCCAATTCTGGTCAGTGGTCTGAGGACGCTTGGACTCTCCCTCTGCCCCCCAAGACCCTCAGAGGCTGTAATCTTCACAGAAGCTCCTGGAGAGCAGCTGGTGGGTTTGAACCAGTGATCTCGCCGTTAGTAGCTCAGTGATTGGTCCACTGTGCCACCAGGGCTCCTTTAGAGAGAAGGTCCTTATATCTCCCTACTCCCACCCCCACCACTACCGAGTGGGCTGGGGCCAGTGGTTCTCTGGATGCAGCCGCCCCAGCAGGCCCTCCCCAGCACCCCTTCTTGGCCTGCCAAGCGCCCACACAGTCCCCATCTCAGAGTTCCCAAGTTGAGAGCAAACACCGCACGAAACCAGCTCGAGAAGGGCCTTGAGGTGAAGTCCTGCCCCAGCAGCTTTCTCCCGGGGGACCTCGGGCTAGCGTGTCTTCCTCTCTCTGAAGCTCAGTTTTCTCAGCTGTAAAATGGGCTCATCTCAGCACCAGCCTGTCAGGGGGCCTGGAGTAGGTGAGTCAGTGAGCTAAGGACATGGAGCGCCTTCATGGCGCTCTTGGCTGTGGGGTCGAGGCTGTATTTGCTGCTGCTTGGTACAGTGGCCTTCACTTTCTCATCTGTACAATGGGAGCATTGCTACTCTTGTTTTTTAGAGGCTATTGAGTTGGGTAATACCGGGTGCATAGCTGCAGAACCGACACAGATTTCCTCCCTGCCCTCTGCCCCAGGGTGCTTCAGCCCTGAGCCTCCACCCCCTACACCTGGCCAAGACCGCAAGCCCCCCTCCACCCGTCGGAGGCTCCAGTCCCCCCGAGTCTCTTGCTGTGAATTATTTACTCACTAGCAAAATGTAATTGGTGAGATTAAAATATGCATTCCCTGCACAGACACCCCATCCCTGCCCGTGGAAGATTAATAAGTAAAACGCCTTCAATAATTGACGCCGCCCCGCCAGGGCCGGCGTGGGCACAGGACGGCCGGCCGGAAGGTGCTGAATAATTTACCGGCGGCTTCTGAGCCCTTCCCTCACTGCCACCCCTTTTGGCTGACGCCCCCACCCATCCAAGCAGGCATGGCTGTGACCCCAGGACACCTTCCCGACAAGATCCCTGGGATGGTGGGCTGGCCACAGGTGGGGCGGGACCCAGCTGGGTGACCTTGGACAGCAGCCCCCGCTCTGGGCCCGGGGCAGCGCTGCCCCTGTGCCCACCCTTGCTAATGGGCTCTCGGTCTCTCTCCTCCCCGCAGCCTACTCTCCGCCCGGCACGTCCCCTGCAAACCGTTCCTTTATGGGATTAGCACCGAGGCAGCCAGCGGGCACTTATCAGGCACAGGTAGGGGCCGAGAGGCCGGCTGCTGGGGGGTGGGGGGCTCACAGGGGCCGGCCCTGGGCGCAGGGAGAACCCCTCCCCGCTGCATCCCCCCCACACCCCCCCTGGCCAGGTACCTGGCGTGAGTGCAACGAGAGGCCTGCTTGTTGTGCCCTCCAGGGCCCAGAGCCCGCACCCACCTTCTGCCGGGGTCCACGGCAGCCTGCTGCGGCCACGGCCGTCCCTGACCTCAGACCTCGCAATGTGGGATAGGCCACTTCCCGGGTGGACAGCAGAGCCTGGGGCTGAGGGCCATTGTACAGATGGGAAAACTGAGTCTGGGAGAGGCCAGGGACTCTGCTCAGGTCCCACAGCAGCAAGTCGGCTCAAACCTTCAACTGCCTCACCCCACCTCTGGTCCCCTGACCACAGCCTCCAGCCTAGAGGAAGCCCTAGAAAGAGGAAACTGTGTTCCCCCAGGACAGGCAGGGAAACTGAGTCAGTCTGCAGCAGGATGAGCCTCCCAACACCTGGTCTCTACCCCCAGCCCAGCATCGGTGCAGGTGGGGGGAGTGCAGAGGAGGGGACAGACAGGGTGGAGCAGCGTGGGCGTCCCGCCCACCGCCCACCGTGAGGGACAGACATGAGGAGTGGCCTTCAGAGAAGGCTCAGAGGGGAGCGGGAAGTGGCCCATTGTGGGGAGAGGGCCCTAGGTCTCAAACTGGGGAGAGGAGCCCCTCCATGCGTCTCGGTGGGTCTCTGGGGGCTCCCGCCAAACGAGAATGCTGACTGCTGTTGTGTCTGCGGACTTTGCAGCCCCTGCCTGCGTGGGTGTCAGGGAGGGGGCCACCCAGGACCTGCCACCCTGACAAGCTGACTCAGGGCCCCCAGCGGGTCAGGTCAGGGGGCAGCAGAGGGAGACTCTGCTTCAGGGGTGATAACAGGACCCTCGACCCCCTGTGAGGGACACCCCACCACCACTCTGGAGGCCATAGGGAGGGGCCAGGGAGGCCAGAGTGTCCTTGTCCTTGGTTCAAGGAGACCCTGCCTTACTCTGGCCCTGCAGACCTTCCAATGTCCATGTGCCACAGGCCTGGTGGGGGCTGCAGTGTGGCCAGCTTGTCCCTCCCCACCAGAGAATCCCCTGCTTCTGCCTTCCCCCACTATTCATCTGAAGGGAGGCTGTTGAGGGGGCACTAGGGTAACCGACTCCCAGGTGGCACTGGGTCCCCGTCTGCCCCCTCCTCCCTCCAGCCCAGCCCCCTCAGGGAAGGCAACACCCGCTAAATACCCCAAATCCTAAGCACCTGCCCCATGCAGAGTCCCAGAGCCTGGCATGCGAACCCACTGACCTCAAAGCCCCCAAGACCCACCACTCTGGGCCCCTCCCAGCCACCCTATCCAAGCCCCTGCACAGGGATGCCCCCAAAATGCTCACGGCGGCATTTCCCGCAGCCCCCACCCCTCCCTGCAGGAGGCTGGGTGCCCTAATTGCTGCGAAATCTAAGCTAATAAAAACCCAGGGGGGACACCCAACTGCTTAACCCTTAGCTGCCCAGACTGCCCATCCAGCCTCCATGCCCCTTGGCAGCTATCTGGCCTAGGCCCCAGGGGATCCCTCCTCCTGCTGTCCTCGGTCCACTCCTGCACCCCAAGCACGGAGCCTAGAGAGGGAAAGCAGCTGAGGGGGGTAGGAGGATGGGGTGTGGTTGCTGAGGCACCCAGACAACGGTGGGGTGTGGCGTGAGGTAATGGGGCACAGCTTGTATGAGAGAGACTGAGCCCCAGGCTGGGGGACACTGATGGTCATGAGCTGCCCCCAGGCAGTGGGGAGCCACTGAAGGCTCTGGAGCAAGGGAGGGGGCAGCCAAGCTGAGAGAATGTGTGAGAGCTGCTGTTGGGGTCGGAAGGAGGAGCAGTCAGAGTCCCAGAGGAGGAATGGGGAGACGGACCCCAGTCTAGGTCTCAGAGAGAGGGTGTGGAGAGGTCCCTGGCCTAAGAGCCCCCAGTTACCCGGTGGACTCAGGAGCGTGAGGGAGGGAGGAGGCCCCGCTGCCCTGCTCAGAGCTCCACTCCCCCTCTGGGTCGTCCCCCCCCCGCCAGAGCTCGGGAGCAGAGGCCTCTCATTTCCCATTCTGGCCCGGTCAGCACTCCTGCCTCCTCCTTGGTGGCTGTCGGAGGGGTTTGCGCCTGTACCCCGGCCCTGCATCTGCCCCTGTAGCGGCCACAAGTGCTTATGCCTGCCTGCCCAACGGTCTGTGAGCTCCCCCACTTCAGTACCCACCCCCCAGTGAGCTTCCCTTTCCTGACCGCTCCCCAAATCACTGACCCCTCCCCTGGATGAGGATCCTCTTGCCCCATCATTACCCCTTTCCCTGACCCTCCCGTCCCTGAATCAGTCCCCTTCCGCTGGTCTGTCACCTCCTCCGGGCACTGTCCCCTCCGCTGGGCAGTGTCCCCTCCTCCAGACAGTGTCCCCTCCTCCGGGCACTGTCCCCTCCTCCGGACAGTGTCCTCTCCTCCAGACAGTGTCCCCTCTCCGGGCAGTGTCCCCTCTTCCGGCACTGTCCCCCTCCTCTGAGCACTGTCTCCCTCCTCCGGGCAGTCCCCCCCCGGGCAGTGTCCCCTCCTCCAGGCACTGTCCCCCCCTCTGGGCAGTGTCCCATCCTCCAGTCTGTGTCTCCCTCCTGCGGACAGTGTCCTCTCTCCTCCAGGAAGTGTCCCCTCTTCCAGTCTATTTCCCCCTCCTCCGGGCAGTGTCCCCTCCTCTGAGAAGTGTCCCCTCCTCCAGACATTGTCCCCTCCTATGGGCAGTGCCCATTTCCTGTCATCAGTCCACTCCCCATCAATGTCCCTCTCATTTTGTCTCCCCTTGACGATGATCCCCCCACACTCCTAGCTCGTGTGTTTTAACCCCCAACTTTCACCTCCTCCCTGCCCCCCCCAGCTTATCACGCCCATTTAGCAGACAAGTAAACCAAGGGCCCAGAGCCACACCGCCACCCTGGGGGTCCTGACTCTGACCCTGTCTCTGCTCTGCCTCAGTCTCCCCCTCAGCTGGAAGGAGGATGTGGCACCTGGGATGTCCCACTCTGTCCACACCCCCCCCCCCAATATAGACAAGACTAGGGCCAGGAAGGACTCCTGGGAGGAAAGGCCCAGGAGAGGCCGTCCACCACAGGGTGGGTCACGCCCAGAGTCTGTCTGGTTGCCAGCGGAAACCAGACATGAGGTAATGGCCAAGATGAACTTGAACTTGGCTGGAGCTGGGGGCTGGGAATGCTGTGCTGCTTGGATGGAATGGCCCTGAGGCCGCCTGTTGGAAAGGAGATTGATTGACCTATCAGACAGGGCAGCTGGTGGGCATCTGACCTCCACAGGCAGAGAGAGTGTCGTGTGGCCAAGGAGCCGGCGCCCCCAGAGCGGGGGGCAGAGTTTTCTCATGAGGATGACACGGCATTGGACAAGGTTCACCTAGTGGGCTCGTGTTGGCTTGAAGGCACCGCACAGCGGTGACGGGGGAGCCCTGGTGGCTTAGTGGTAAGGAATTATGCAGCCAACTCAAAGGCACTTGGTTTGAATCCACAAGCTGCTCCTTAGGAGAAAGATGGGCATCTCTTCGTGGGTGATTTTCTGGAGGGTCAGCAGTGGGTCAGTGCCCACTCAGCGGGCATAGCACGGCGGATATCCCATGACTGGGGTATACTCATTGTGCCAAGCATAGTATCCCTTTCCAAGAACTGGTCCCATTAGCAACCTGCCCAAAGTATGTGAGACAGTCTCACCCTCTGTGCCACTACTGGGTGCCCTTGTTCTCCGAGACGTATTTGTTTGTGTATCCCAACTTCTGCAGACTCACAAGCCACCAGATGACCCACACATCTGAACCTTGCCCAGTTCTGTGCCATCCTCAGGACCTCTGTCCTGCCCGAGCCCTCTGTCGTCACTGTGTCTATGAGTCCGTCTCATTGAGGGTCTTCCTCTCCTTGCGGACCCTCTGCTTTCCCCAGCATGTCTCTCTCCAGAGACTGGCTCCTCCTGGGAGTATGTGCGGGTCTGTGAGGCGAGGCTCAACCCCTGCGGCCGAGGAGCTTGGAGGCCCTTCGTCCCCCCGCAGCTGCGTTTGTTCTTTCTTTCAGCAGTCTGCGGCATGATGCTCAGGCCTCTGCCAACACCGCACTGCAAAGGCATCACTGAGTCTTCTCTCATCATTGTCCAACTTTCAGGTGCAGGGAGTCACTGACAAGACCGTGGCTTGGATCAGGTGCACCTCAGTCTTCAAACTGGCATCCTTACTCCTTAGGACCTTGGAGATGTCCTTGACAGTGCGTTTCCCCAGGCAGCACGCCTGTTGATGTATTGACTGCTGCGACCATGGGCATTGATTGTGGAGCCAAAGGAAAGAAAATCCTTGACGATGTCACTCTTTTCTCCGTCTGTCGTGATGTTGTCTCTTGGTCCAGTGGGGAGGATTTTCATCTTGATGTTGAGACGTAGTCCATATGCAAGGGCGTCAGGTCTTTTTCACTTTGAACACTCAGGGTTGTGTCACCTGCATGATGCCCGTTGTTGATGGGCCTTCCTCCAACCCTGATACCACATTCTTCTTCATCAAGCGCTGCTTCTCGAATTTCTTGTTCAGCGTACAGCTTGAATAGGCATGGAGAAAGGACGCACTGCGGATGTGATGCACATCTGATCTGATCTTTAAATAATGTCATATTTCCTTGCTCTGTTCAGACATCTGCTTGGTCTCTGTAGGTTTTGCCTGAGCACACTTTCCCATCCATCCTTCTAAGCCATAATGTGTTATGATACACAGTTAGACGCCTGTGCGTAATCAATAAAAGACGTGATTTTTATGCTCTTTAACACCTCTGTGATCGTCTTTAAGTTAAAATTCATCTGACAGTGGCTTGAGCCACGGCCTCTTCTGAATTCCAGTGTCAAGTTCTCCATCAGGGTACTGTTCTAGCCGTTTTAAAATGATCTTCAGCAAGATTTTACTTGAATGTGCCATTAATGATACTGTTTTTATCATTTCCGCATTCTGCTGCCTCACCTTTTTTGGGAATAGGAGCACCTGTGGATCTCTTGCAGTCCGTTGGCCAGTCAGATGGCCAGGCGTCGCTGTTTGTTGAGACTGGTGGGCACGTCCAGGGCTGCGTCTGTTCCCCAAGTACCTCAGTTAGCGGCCCATCTGTTCTGGGGCCTTAGTCTTTGCCAGTGACTTCAGTGCAGCCTGCACGTGCTCCTTCACTGCCATTGGTCATATGTTGTTGTTGTTGTTGTTTTTGTTATGTGCCAACAAGTCACTTGCGACTCATAGCAACCCTATGTACAACAGCCCTAAACTCTGCTCTGTCCTGTGCCAGTCGCACTGTCTCTGACAC